TCCCTGGTTACTTGAAAAGCCCGGAGGTCGATGCCAACCTGTCTCTCCGCTCCTCTGACAAGAGGTCCTTCTCCAGGCACGGGCTGCTTTTGTGTTCGCAAAAAGGGAAGTAAGTTTATGTAGTATGATTGTAGTCATGGATATTGGTACTTAGTATCATTGTTGTCATTATTATCAGTAGTATGTTTTAGGAATTGCTCTCATGACCATCGTCATCATCATCATCATCATCATCATCATCACCATCTTCATCACAGTTAGAGTTGATATATGGGTGGTTGTCAAAATTATGGTCCCTTTTTGGGGTCCTTATTATAATACGGCACCTATAATTTAGGGTACCCCAATAAAGGGACCATAATTTTGACGACTACCCATATCCTTCTCCAGGCACCCTAAACCCTAAACCCTAAACCCTAAACCCTAAACCCATATCCGGCCATATCCTTCTCCAGGCAGGTTTCGCCAGACTCAACATCCTCGAAGGCCTTGGGGGACGACGTCGTCGGGAAGCAGCTTTCCACGGGGAGCCAGAATCTGGGCTTTAGGGTTTAGGGTTTAGGGTTTAGGTTTGGAGTACCATACTTTAATACTTTTTTTCGGGACCTGTTCCTTAAAGGAACCATTATGAAATAAAAGTCTATACTTTTTCTCCCTGGTTACTTCAAAGCCCAGGAATTCACTACCGACTCGAATGGCTTCGAACGGTTCGGCGAAGAAGGTGTCTCCCGATGTTCGGATGGTCAGTGAAAAGAGGCAACGTATGTTGAAAGACGTGAAGAAGTCGACAGAGACGATGCCCAGGGTCTCCAAGACGTGTCCACTGCTGCTGGATAGTTGGTCGCCAGATCCGGAGTGGCTTAGATCCCCAATACCCAACCTTTAAACTTTTTGAGTTCTTATATTTTAGTAGTAATCTGAAAGTTTAACCTTTTATTTCCCCTAAACCCTAAACTCTAAAGCCTAAACCCTAAACCAGAAACCCTGAGGTGGGCAATGCCCAGTAGCAAAGAGAAGGCCAAGGTTCCGAAGGCGATGGGTTGCCAACTCCTCAGCAAGTGTCTGGCCTTTGGCACACGGTTTAGGGTTTAGGGTTTAGGGTTTAGATTTGGTTCAGGAACTTTTTTTATTGTATAATATGTTACTACAAACACTCAAATCAGGTTATATTCTAGGTATAAGAAGAATCATAACAGCAAGCTTTAATCACGATAGATATCCTGGCTATAAGATCCTTCACGAACACCCAGGTGATGGGGCCGAAGGGAAATGGTTGCTTGGTTGTTTCACTGTTTTGTGAGCTCTGCAGTGTTCCGCTTTAGGAAGCTGTGGAGTTCGTGCCTCGTGGTCCGCAGGTAAAGCCTGCCCTAACTCCCCATTTAGGGTGTAGGGCCGGGGCTTGCGCCTGGGAGGCTGGCAGAAAAGCCCTTAGGGTGTAGATCTGATACGTAGCTTGCAAGTCTTGTGGGGTCCTCGACCCGCGCAGCCCCGCGAAATGAGACCACGTTGAATTTCAAGAGTTTTCAAACTCGATCCATGACGCTCTGGATGAGTGCATGGAAGGAGGTGCTGGGGGTTTGCATTCGGAAGCTACACAATCGCACACCCAGTTGTGAGTGCTGAAACCCTACAGCCCAGCCAGTAGGCTCAGTAGGCTTTAGCAGGATCTTGGCCTGCTGCTGCTCCCTGAAGATGCTCTGTGGCATGTGCGCCATTGGTCCCGGGCCCAAGTTGTCATGATCTAAACCCTAAACCCTAAACCCTTAGCCCGAGAGCCTTCAACCCTAAACTCGACATATGGCCCCTCAGCACTAAGCCCTAAACCCAACTTTCCCTTATGGGGCCCTATACAACCCCGAATTTCAAGTGGACATGCATCGTAGCTCTGCCGAAGTCTCCTGGGACCGCTCGGGCCTTAATGCTGAGTCCTTCAAATCTCGAGCCCATGGCCGAAAGTTATTTGTTGCGGTTTGAGGTTTAGTTTTTCGTTGTAGGGTTTGGGGTTCTTTCGCGGTTTGGGATTTGGGGTTTTAGGTTCCAGGGCGTAACCCTAAACCCTACCAGGGCTTGCTATCATGAGCCGAAGCCCGACTATAGCTCCCGAGCAGGTTCCAGGGGGGCAAGGCACAGCTAGCGACTTGCGTGTCCTGCGTGACCCATGGACGGTTCAGGGTTTAGGGTTTAGGTTTAGGACGTGAGAGAATCCGAAGGTATCATCTTCAGATGTTTTGGGGGAACCCAGCTTTTTGTTCTTATCTCTCGAGAGTATATGAGTGTTTTTTTCTGTGGTTCCTATGGCGCTTGCGTAGTTTAAGGTCCTGAACTGAAGAATTAATATGATCCCTTACGCAGGGTCGGTGAATAAGACCAATTCTAATCATTGTTGCGCCTGTAGAACTGCAGCTGGCCGAATCTTCTGCAAACCACAAAACGGCAAATCTGAAAGTCGCAGCTCGAAACAACAACTGAACCTGTCCGATTCGTGGGTTTCGCGCATGTCGTGGCTCGGGAGGAAATCTCCGGGCCGTCTCTTTGAGTGTTTGAACGAAGCTCTCTGCGCTTTGCGACTTGTTTGTTGAGGTTTCCCAGAGACTCCAAAACCGTTTGATCAAGGAATATAATTAGGTAACCTAAATCATACTAGACTTCCCACTATAATTTAAAGTATTTGCCTTAACTCAGGGGTTTGGGGGTCTAGGGTTAGGGCCTCTGCAGACATCTGAGGAGCGCGCTTGCTTGGACCCCTAGAGAAATCCTTCAAGGAAGCCAAAAGGGAGCCCTAAACCCTAAACAACCTTAAACCCTCTAAACCCCTACACCCCTAAACCCTAAGAGTTGTGAGAGTGTAAACCGATAAGGGAACCCTTAGCATTCTGGATGCCGGGAGACAGCAAGTTCTGTGAAGCTCAGCCCGGGTTCGATGATTCCTAGGTAGTATTCGGGCTTAGGGTTTAGGGTGGAGGGGTTTAGGGTTTAGGATTTAGGGCTTAGGATTTAAAAGCCTGTTGCAAGGGTTTAGGATTTAGGGTCGAGGATTTAGGGTGTAGGGTTTAGGGTAGTATTAGGGAGACCCCTCAAGGGGGACTCTTCTTAACCCTACTTATGGCTCTCTTGAAAGGGACACCTGATGGAGAGGGCCTTTGTCCCCTAAGGTCCCCTTAATCCCAACTCCAACATGATGTAGGGTTTACGGTTTAGGGTTTAGGGTTTAGGGTAGCAGCCAGCATCATTAGCACCGAAGAATAGCGTTCCTTGAAAGGTTCGGTACTACAACGGACCGTTTAGAGTTTACGGTGAGATCTGACAAGGCCGTTGCAAAAAGGGTTGCTGAGGATACCACAAGGGTCCTTTATGGGCTCGATGATGTAGATGCCCGAATATTTAATCTTAGTTGTGCCGGAGGTTCGTGATTAGACTTTAGTGTTCTACCCTAACTCTATGTTACACCCCCTGATTGATACACCCCCCCTTGCTCGCTCATAGTAGGCTCCCTGCCATACATAGTCCCAGTAAGAGGGGAGAGGGCTTGCTAGTCGGGGGTATATTAATTACTTGGAGGGTCATGGGTAGTTATAAATGGGGTTAGAAGTAGGGCAACTATAGTTATATAACCCATATTTGGGGACTTGTAACTCCATTTGTAACTACCCATGAACCTCCAAGTAAGGCCTCAACGGTCTAGGTGTGAGGTCGGATCCTAAACCGACTCTCACAGGTCCAATTCGGGGTATCAGAGCATTGGTGACTCTCATGTAAATCCTAAACCCTAAACCCTACCCCTAAGAATAGGACCCTGACTCAAAGGACCCCTGTAATGGAGCCCCTCGTTCTTAGAAGCAAGCCCTAAACCTGACAAAACCCCAAACTTCAAAGCCCTAAAGCCTCAAACCTCAGCACCCTCCCCCAATGCCCTAGGCCCACAAGCCCCTAAAGGCCAGAGCCTGAACTTCCCAACTCTAAACCCTACTGCATCACGCCGACTTTCGACTATGGATCCTCGCCTGGCATGTCCGAGTTGTGAGAGCGTAAACCCTAATGCACCTAAACCCAGCAATGTGTCTTGCTAGGGCTTCGGGTTTCGGATTTATGGAGGTGCTGCTTCCCAGCTGTTTGGGAGAGTCTGTGTTCAAAAAAGTTCTAGGTTCCCGAGTAGGTGCCCTTTTGCCCTTTTGATTTTGGGGTCTCCTTATGAGAACCAAAAAACTAATTCGGAAACAGGGTACCATTATTAAGTAGGGGTCACAAAGGAACCTAGAAAGTATATGGTTTAGGGATTAGTAAAGTGCTGAAACCCTAATATGGGGGCCTGAATAATTGGAATAGGGTTTGGGGGTGTAATATACCATAATTATAATAAGGAGCCCCCAAAACCTTATTATAAGTAGTAAGGCCCCTACATTAGCCCCTCGAAATTGCACCCAAACTTGCTGTCCTCCGGATCCGACTTTTGGTGGATGTCCGTCTCTGGCAGCGTGGGGAGAATGCAGGAGGCCCAAGTCGCGATGAGCCGGGCTTGACAAAAGGGCTCTGTAATATACCCTAAACCCTAAACCCTAAACCCTAAACCCTAGGGGCCTCAATAATTGCCAATATTATTTGGGGGGGTCCTTATAGTAAATATAGTATAGTGGGCCCCAGGGCCCCAAAATCCCACTCTATTTCTTAAGGCCCCTACTTTATATGAAACTGCTTCAACAAAAACACGTTTTCAGGCGAAGAGCAGAGCTTTGTTAGATTTTCGGGGCCTCACGAGCTCTCCCCCGCGCCGCCCTGCGCCTCCTTTCTGACGGAACATCGGTCGTGCACCGCCTCGGAATATTGACTTCGCAGAGTCTGAAGTCAAGGGGCGGCTGTGTCTGTGTAGCTGCATAGGCTCCGGAGGGGAAGGGGTTACAGGCAATCGTCATGATACGAACCATGCACCCTGGACAATTCCGAACGCCTCAAAATCCCCAAGCCCTTAACACCCTCTAACCCCTAATCCGAAATTATATAATAGATTATACCCATAAACCTTCAATGTAAACCCTGAACTCTTAATTTCAAGCCCTCCCCGAGGCTTCTATCGGCCAGGCTGGTGAATCTGGCCTTGTGTTTTTATCTTCTGTCCATGGGGCGCGGACCGATCCCTCTGCGCCGCCTGGGCCACAGATTCGCGTGAACGGAGTTCCGCGAGGGAGCCGCCACTTCCGGCTCCAATAATGAAGCTGGGCTTGTCTTGAAATGAGAAACCCTAAACCCTAAACCCTAAACTTCTGTGCGATGTATCTTTGTACCATGATGGGTGGTTAGATTGGGCTCAAGGTTTGGGCTCTGAGTAGCTTAAGCCTTTACCACCTGGGGGGGTTTCCGAAAATAGGGGGCCCTAGCATAGTACCCTAAATAGTGGGATCTATATTATAAGGACCCCAAAATAAAGCACCCCTTACATGCAGAAACTCCCACATGATCCCAGCTTTTTGAGCAAGGAAGGAATTACACTCTATGCAGCTCCCGGTCTTCGAGTGCTAAACCCTAGGTAACCTTAGAGCCTAAAGCCTAAGCCTTAAAGCCTAAAGCGTGAGCCTTTAAAGCCGAAACACACATCCTACCTAAGCTCCCGGCCTTTCAAGTCCCGGTTTCCGGGCGACAAGGGTGCCATCGCTCCTGCGGTTTTAGCCCAGTCGTCTGAGTTCTAAGCCTGTCATGCCCGCGACTCCTTTGAAATGTAGCATCAAATGTCATGCTCGAGCAAGAAAAAGGCGGGGGGGGGGGGGGGGGGGCAGTAGCATAATCTGGTATGATAAAAAGTAAGACAAGAGAGTTATAAACAACATAGTACACCAACAGAAGAGATTATCAAGTTACAGTATAAAACACTGTAGCCAGAGTACGGTATATATTAAATAACAAACGATGCAACCATATAGCATAGTACAAGCAAATATGGCATGGCATGGCACAGTACAACATCTCAGAATAGCATAGAAGAGAAGAGGAGTGAGGAGAGAAGAGAACATAATAGATTAGAATATGGTATAGCATAGTGAACAACACGACCGCGTGATATACAATGACCAAAAATGACATAATATATTACAGCATGGTTGAATTGGCTAGACTAGACTAGAACAGAATAATGGTACGTGATTCAGTACAATACAAGTGCACCGACCCCTAATTCTTGACCCTTAAACTTAATGCAGAAGTAGTGTTGTCCCTTGTCAGGATGCTAACTGTTAGGGCCTGCGCCCGCGCAAGCTGTCCGAAGTTTGCAAACGATGTTGGAAGCTTAGAAACTCGAGGGGTCGTAATCATCTACTACAGAGCTTCGGTAGGAGGATCCTTCGTGATCATGAGGATCCGGAAAACAAGAAGCCCCCTTTTTTCGTCAGTGATACGGGTGGACCTATCCGGCTAACCTTTCCTGCCTTTGAGGCCAGGCCGCAAACACGTAGTGAGCTAGGCAGGCGGCACAAAGAAACCCTAAGGCCTAAATCCTAAGCGACCCCTTTACAAGGCTTAAACCACCCTAAACCCTAACCCGTACCGAAAAGGCCATGTCCTTGCCAGGTAGCAGGGGGCTTCCAGCCTTGACCCCTCAACCCTTCCAAAACACGACCGGTCAGGGCCACACGGAAAAACCCGCTGACATGGCTTATGTAGCATTCTGGGTTCGGTTTCGGGCCCTTGGCCCTAAACGCTAAAGCCCAAGCCGTAGAACAAGCAAGAACCTGCCAGGGCTTGCTCCTTGAGGGCATCATGGACAGCCCGCGCGCCACAGACACCCGCAGGGAGACCTATCCTAAACCCTAAACCCTAAACCCTAAACCCTAAACCCTAAACCCTAAACCCCTAAACCCTAAACCCCTAAACCCCTAAACCATGTGTCAGAGGCTTCAGGGCTTCTTGGAACCCAGAGCTACTTGGACCCTCGAAGGCTTCACGGATGGAACTGCGGCTGAAGGCTTAAGGCTGTGAGCTTCTTTCCTGAGGGCTTCGGCATGTTTCGGAAGTTCGGGCATGGGGTTGAAGACGTACTTGTCCCAGCGGATAAATCTCTAGACAAGCTAACATGAATCCTGAACTACCTATTGCAGGCTCCAGTGTACTTCCTTTTTTGGGTTATTGGTTTACCTTGTAGGACCCTGCAATTGGCAAACATATGGGTATTTCCCTAAATTAAGGTCCCCTCTTAGGTCCCCCAAATAGTACGGCACCCTTATAAGAAGGACTCCTAAACCCTAAACCCTAATTTAGACCCTAAACCCTAAACCCTAAACCCTAAACCCTAAACCCTAAACCCTAAACCGGACGTTGAGCAAAGAGTCTCTAGCGGTGGAGACCCAAGGAGGCCCCCCAAAGTCGTGGAAGAGCAGCGAGCGGCCTTCTAAAGAATATAGCCTTTAGGGTTTAGGGTTTAGGGTTTAGGGTTTAGGGTTTAGGGTTTAGGGTTTAGGATAGGGGCCTTAATAACTACCTATGCTATTTCGGGGGTTCCTTATTATGATTATAGTATAATATATCAAAAAAGGTTTTTCTAATTACTAAGGCCCCCTACATTTTGAGTCATGGGTGCGACTATAGGGGCCTTGATCATTACTTCGTAATGGCAAGGGCTTCGGTGTTTGGGGTTTAGGGTAGTAATCATGTCCCCATATAGTCCCTACAGACTCTACAATGCAACACGCCCCCAAAAGCAAGTTTAATCAGTAAGGCCCCTATGGCAGACCGTTCAGTTTAGTTTGCGGTAGTGCACGGCTCTGCCTTCGCAGCTTCACATTCCGCAATCTTATCTTATGCTTAAGCTATACTAAGGCTTAAATAAATAAACAAATAAACAAACAATAAATAAATAAATATATATATATACACATGTATATCGTAGGCTGCCACTAGTAACTAATCCGACCCGTAGATTACCCTTACAGCTCACATTCAACCACCATTAAGATCCCTCTCCAAATCCTATGAAACCCACTAAGGTCCCTGTAAAAATCCTAGGAAGCAGCGCCGCCCCAATGCAACGCCCAGGCCCCTCCACTGCAGAGACGGCCCTCCGTGCAGATGGAGAGACAAAGGAGCGAGGGCTTGCTTACAGAGCTGAGCTTTCTATGAATGAGGCAGTTACATGTATAATTCTTGTAACCTCGAGTATGCGTGACTCTTGGGTTCGGTGTTGTAGGGCTTAGGGTTTAGACTAAGACGGCTTCAGGGTTTGGGGTGTTGTTGACGTTCGTTTGTGTTTTTTTTCTTCATGGGGTCCTTCCTAGGAAATCTCCAGATACCATGTTCAGTTGTGCTTGCGAGTAGAAGGCAGTTCCAAACGACTGGGAAGCGTAGCGCCCCAGTCGTGCCCTGTAGCCGCAGCGAAAATACAATATATAGGGGCGTTCATAACTTAATTGGAATAGGGTCTTCTCGTCCTTAACCCTGAAGCCTGAATCGTCAAATCAAATTGAAAGCCTTCTGAGAGGAAGCTTCTGCCAAACCGCAATTCCGCGGCATGACTGCAAGAGGGGTCTATAAGCTGTCCATGTCTCAAGATACTATAGGGGCCTGGACAGTTAGATTTCGAGTAGGGTTTCGGGGTTTGCTGTACTGTCATTTACAGGGAACCTTGATACGGAATTTAATTGGTGGTGACGTTTTCCATAGTCGTACTGGAGGTACCTTGAAGAACTAGGACACGAGCAAAGGTCATGACGATGGTGACAAAGTTAACGAAGACGACGAATTCAACGACGACGACGACTAGTCCGACTGTATCGACGAGCATGGCTTTTGTGGTTGGTCGGAATATAGAGCGACTTTTGTAGCATAGTGTCCTGGCGGTGACTATCACTGGGTCGGGGCCTTACCTAAACGCCTAAGCAATACCCAAACCCACATCCCTAGACCCCATAGACATAGAGCCCCGAACTTAAACCCCCCTAGCCCTAAAATTCCCTAAACCCTAAAACTCAAAAACTGGAAATCTACCCCCCCCCCCCCGAGTGTGTGAGTCCCGACATAGACGCTTCTTTGTAGCTCCTTTTATTTCAGAGTCCTTGCAGGAACCCCTACTTAAAGGACCGGCTGATTTAGTCAGGATTTTTATCACAAGGGTTAGACACAGGGTTGCTCCACTTAGGGCACTTGTTGCTACTTTCAACCTGCCTACTGAGTCCCTTGGCCCTCTAAAACCCTAAACACACCACCACCACCACACCCACAGCCACACAAAAAAGGTTTGTGGCTTAGGGTCTTTGTTTCGTTGTCCCGGTTTCTCTCTGTCTTTCTTTCTATCTCTCTCTCTCTCCCCCTAAGTGTTGGAACTCTTAGACGAGCTCGGGAGACTAAACCCTAATTTAGGGAACTCTTGGACAAGCTCGGGAGGTTTCGTGTCGTGCAGGGACCATTCCCGAGCGCCGCCCCAAAAGAAAAGGTCTCGAAGCCCGAACCTGGCTAAAGGGCTGTATACGTGAACACAATACTGAACATACAAAACCTACCCCGTATTGGGGTTGATGATGATATAACGGCTTAAGAGGTGGTAAGTGAGGTTAAGGCACGGTATCAAAGCACTTAGTTAGCATGTTGCATGTAAGGCTAGAAGTAGGATATCTTTAACTAAGAACCTTGTAAACTCTGCGTATAACTTACTTCCTAAGGCTTTGATCCTTCGGCTTTGGTTGGTGTAAGCTCTGGTTGTGTATAGGAGTCTGAAAGATTAGGATAAGCTTTTGGGATATCTTGTAGTATACTTACCGTATCATCAGGAACCTCAAGGAATAGTATTAAACATATTTCCGACTTCTACACTCGTCTCTACGGCTCTAAGGTTGAGAGGTTGAGGGTGCAAGGAGTACGCTTTTGGTTTTGCAGACTTGAGGCCGTTGGTTTGCCAGAGGGTGACGATCATGGAGGGTTTTGGGGTTGGGGGTGTGCAACGGAGTGGTTTAAAACCATCACAGACGACTTCCACAGCCCCGCCGCAAAGTCCAGTTAAAAGCGTGCAGTGGGAGCCTGGCAATCGTAATATCGGGGCCTTTATAAATAGAATAGGGTTTTGGGGCCCATTATGCTATAACTATAACAAGGAGCCGCCACAATAGTATTGGTAATTTTTCAGGCCCCTTCCTTAGTATCCGTTAGCCCCTCCACCCTGGGACCTCCAGTCGTTCAAATACTGAGCCAGACAATCCGAAGATTGCTCCAATGCCGACAACCCTAAACCCTAAACCCCGCCTCAAGATGATCGCACAATCCCAAACAGCCGGGTGCCAAAGCTTCTCCTCGCGACTGCCGAGGCAAGATGCGAACGGGTGCCACAGAGTGACATGACCGTGTTACGGGTTTAGTTTTCGGACCGGGAGTTGTGGGTTCAAGGGGCGGCAAGAACAGACAGGGACAGAGAAAGAGTCTAAACCCTGTGCCGTACAAACGAGAGAGATATTTTTGGGCCTAGCGCTTTTAAGCCAAGCTGTGCGGTCGGGACGGCGTGAGAGATGGCGGGTGATCTCATAGCTCCATGTTCTTGACCCTGGATGCGACAACGACCGCTGTCTAATACTAGTTTGTAGTATAACATACTGTATAACACTACACACCACACTGTACTTACTATATTATACTGCACTGTATCCACAAGTGCCACTGTCACTGCTGCTGGTACAGCAACAACAAGTAAGTACTTTTCGTACTACTACTACTACTACTACTACTACTACTACTGCTACTGCTACTGCTACTACTACTACTACTACTACTACTACTACTGTTACTACTACTACTGTTACTACTACTACTGTTACTACTACTACTG